AAAAAAAGAGTCAACGGGCTTCTGAGAGGCTCCTGTGATTCATTCACAGCGAGAAATCACTCCAAAAGTCGCCGGAAAATAAGTGGGTCAGCTCTGTACGTACGCATAAGCGGGTCACACACGTAAGTGGGTCAGCCCTGTACTGACCCACTTACGCTGTCCGGACTGTACCAGGGCGGGAGGAGGAACCGGATTTCTGACGAGACGCGGGTTCCCCAGGGCCTCCTGATTGCTGGTGTTGGAGAGAGAAAGGATCTCCGACGACACCAACACCACGCTGGGGAGGAGGACGAAGGCCCGCAGCAAGAAGAGCATTGTCACGTTCAGGTCGGCCGGCAGCGAGACGCGACACGAGACGGTCCCACGGCCCCCACGCTTCGCTGCGAGCTTTCTATTGTCAAGCATGGTGTGCGTTCGTGAGCTGTGTCAAAGCCGTGTGCCCGTACTTCGCCTGTGTGCCCGTACTCCGCCTGACGACAGCTGCGGGACGAAGGGTGGTACCACGAGATTGATCCAGTAACCGACGCTCGATGCAAAATTGAAAGGGGAGTGTCCCCGTCCCTCCCTCCACCAGTGAACTTCATTGTCAGACTTCACCGCAAGCAACCACCACCACCCATCCATACACCCAGCCAGCCACCCCACGAACCACACACACCCACACACGTACACACATACAGATAATACCCACGACACACAAGTATCCCTCGCCTCTCTCTCGCCATTCATTCATTCTCGCACCAGCACCGCCCCCTCCTTGCTTCAAAGCGTCCTCTCCTGCAGGCCCGCTGCGGACTGACTAACTTGGGACGTCCCGTGCGTGTTCGTATGCTATGCTATCCTGTGCTATTCTTCCTCCCTCGGTCATCCGTTGCCCTGTCTAGATGATAACATGGCGACAAAGAGCCCGTCACACCACCACCGGCAGTCATCGATCCACCATCTTATCTACCGACATCATGACAGTCCCTCCGGGAGCCGTCGAAGCTCACTCATGGCCAAGCAGGCAGGAGGGCAGACGGACAGCAAGTGAGTACTTAGTGAGTACAACCGCACACACCACACACACACACACACAAACACACATCCAGACAGCCAGCCGACCAGCCAGCCACCCATCCACACACCACCCCTCCACCCAGACAGACGTTCGTTGACACATCCACGCAGACAGACAGACAGACAGACCGACAGGCGAACAGACGGGCAGACAGGGACCGAGCAGCCACAAAGCGAAAAAAGATCAGATGGTCAGTTCGGTTCATCTCAGCCCATCAGCAAGTAGTAGAGACGAGACGAGGCAGTCGATCGAGGCAGCCAGGCACACTAGGGTAGGCAGGACACGCGAGACAGACAGACAAGCGGACAGAGGGGTGTGTGGGCGGGCAGGCAGGCAGCCAGTGGATGGATGATGTGTGTGTGGGTGGTGTGTCCATAGAAGCATGCACGCAGTTGTTCACAGTACTCAGCAAGCATGTCATGTGTGGGTGAGGGAGGTCAGGTGAGTGACAAAGGAGGACGGGCGGGGAAAAGAGAAGCAGGCAGGCAGGCAGGCAGGCAGCCAGCTAGTTGCCCCAGGCGTCGAAGGCCTGGACGCCCTTGGCCACTGCCTGACTGCGGCCCATGTCCACCTTGAGCACCTGCTCCATCTTCTCCATACCCTCCTCGCCTGCACGCACACACACACACACACACACGTGGGTCAGTCACATGATCAGGGGTCGACCGACGTGTGCGCGTATGGCCCGTGTCTTTCTTGACGACTCACCGGTGATGTCATGGATGCCCCTGAGCTCCTTCCTCCAGGTGGGGTAGATCTGGTCAGAGTCGGCGGCGAAGGAAATGAAGGCGCGGGCGTACTGGCGGTTCTCGGGGCGCTTGGCGAACTCAAGGGGATCGGCACCCTCCTTCCAGCACAGCCAGGCCTGATCAATCAACGACCAACACAACACAACACAACACAACATGTTGCTGGTGGCCACTGGGCGCTCGTGGGACGATTGTGTTGTGATGGTGTGGTCAGGTCAGCGGACCTGTCGGCAGGACTTGGCGCCCTCCGAGGGGCCGTCGACGTGGCCGTATGAGCCGCCACCGCAGGTCATGACGACGTTGGCGTGGCCGAGGTTGGTGAAGAAGTTGACCATACGGATGGCGTTCATGCCGCCAGAGATGATGCCGGTGGTGGGGTTCATGTTGGCCCACTGCTGCGTGAAGTACGGGCCCTTCGCCACATCCCTCTCAAGCATGTACACGATGTCACTGCACATCCATCCATCCGCGTGTGTGTGTGTGTGTGTGTGTGTCTCATTAACTGACCGGTCGCTGGCTTCTGACTCCATCTTGCCGAAGCCCATGGTGCCGACGTGGATACCCGACGAGCCGAGCAATCGCGAGAACTTGGAGAGCACCAGGGCGGTGTAGCCTCGCTGGGTCTGGGGGGAGGTGATCATGCCGTGGCCGGCGCGATGGTAGTGCAGCCACTGACGGGGGAAGTTGCGGCGCGCTGTCGCCACGGCCGTGGGGCCAGCCACGAAACCGTCCACCAGGAGAGCGCACTGCTCCGCCAGGTGATCAAACTGACCTGCACACACATGACATCACATCAACCGACACATACACACACACGAGGATCTGTGCGACGAGCGATTCCTTGATGGATTGATTCCCTCCCGTCTGTGTGCGCGTACTGAGGACGTATTTGCCGCGTGCGATCATCTCATCGGGGTCGTCGGCGGTGATGTTGGCGGAGAAGAACATGCGGCGGCCGGTCTCAGCCATTGCCCTCTTGAGCGACTTGACCACCATGGGGATGACCTCCCGCATCGGGCAGAAGGTCTGGTTGCCCTGCAGACACATAACACAGCACACGAAAACACCACATCCATCCATCCATCCATCCGTCAGTCCATCAGTCCGATCACCCATCCACTTGTGACATGTCCCCTGCCTGCCTGCCTGCCTTGTACGCACCTGCGGCTCATCGTTCTTGAGGAAGTCGCCACCGAGCCAGAACTGGTAGGCGGCCTCAGCGAACTCCTTGGGCCTCAGTCCGAGCTTGGGCTTGATGATGGTGCCGACGACGAAGCCGCCGTCCCAGTCGGTCTTGCCCGTGGTGGGGTCGTAGGGGACGGTCTCGCGGCCCATGACCTGCCACATGTGACGGATGTCCACCGCGGGGCCGTCGAACAGACGCACGAAGTCAGGGGGGAACCAGATGTCCATGATCTTGCCGTACTCGACGTCACCCATACCCTGCAGGCAGGCAGGAGGCCAGACGAACGAACACATCACACCACACAACACACAACACACAACACACAGCACGACAGACGGATAATGAATGAGACACATGCTCGCGTGTGTCATCCATCAAGGTAGGTGGGCAGCGCACGCACCTGGTTGTTGCCGATGACGAGAGTGAGGATGGAGCAGAGCATCGCCCGTCCGTCAGTGATGTTGCGGTCGAAGAGCTTGACGGGGTAGGCGATCTTCATGAGCTCGTTCTCCTCATCCAGCTCGTACGCGACGGCGTCGACAGAGATGGTGTGGTCGTCGGTCGTGCAGACGTTGACGTTGGTGCCGGTGGACGACTCGGCAGCAAAGTGGGCGGCGGTACTGACACACACACACACACATCACACAAGGACTCAAAAACAATGTGTGGGGGCTGGTTTGGGTGGTGAGCCTCTTATCCCACCCACCTGATGAAGTCCTTGGCGATGGGGTACTTGGGTCGCATGTGGTATGCGACGAGGACGTGCTGCTGATTCCTCATGAGGGTCTCCTCGTCCAGGTCCAGCTTGACGTAGCGGTTGGACTGATCCAAAGCCATCCGCACGCAAGTCGGGCCCTCACCGCACACACGGACGCACTGCACCACACACAACACCCCGATATAAGAGACACAGTCATGAAAGGAATGTCGAGCAATCACCCGCTGATCTGATCTGATTGACCCGTGTGCGCCGTCTCCCACCGACCTGTTTGTTGCTGCCCGAGACGAGCCCGGTGCCGGCAAAGTCACCGCCGACCTTGCGGGTCAGGGGGGTGCCCCTGATGAAAGCAGTCATGCGGGACGCGTCGTGGCCTGAGAGTCACACACACACACACACACATACCAGACCATAAGAGAGAACGCCGATTACGAGAGATCTGTCACGCCTGATGGATGCATTGTGTGTCGCTGCGATGCATATCATCAAGGTGCTCAGGTGTGCCCATGGTGGATGGATGGCAAGTGAAGGTCAAGAGTCACACAAAGTGAAGCTGAGCGCCCCTCTCACTCCCCTCTCATCCACCCCCCAGGGGTGTCTGACTGCAGCCATCTACAGCTGAATGCAAGATCCTGTCTGCCCGCTGTCTGCCCAGTGACCCTGACCCTGCCCCTTCTCGCTTACAGTGCGCCACGACGAGGATTGCCAGCATGGCAAGGCTTTTGATTTGGATCGTAGTGAGCCCCATCGCGAGAAAACACCGCCTTCACACAGATCCAAATCAGACCTTGCTGTAGTGTGCCGCTGTGGGTGAGTCTATAAGCTGCCCTTCCCCGCCGCAGCCAGTTCGACAAACCCTAAGAACGACCAGTCATCTTTCGAGCTGGTTAAGATCGCCGGGGGCCACTGGTCGAACAAAGCTGGGTTTAGCTAGGGATTGGGGTTTTGGGTTTGTGGGGTTTGTGAATTGGTTGTGGGACCAAAAAGGTGCGCGCGTCAGAAATGGTGTGCGTGGATGCTGCTCCGGCCATCAGTCAGACGTGGACGTGAGAAGGCTTCCGAGAAAAGCACACCTCCATCGTCAACCACAGCCCCGACTTCACCTCTGGTGACTGGCTGCGGCAGCGGCAGCGGGGCGGCCTGCAAAGCGTCAACCGTCGTCTACACGTCAACAAACAAGACCATCATTCGAACACACAGCGGGGAGACTCTCCTCATTCGCTACCACTACAACAAGCACAAGACCGAGCCCGTGAGCGGGGGGGCAGCCTCAGCCTCTCAGCCGCACTCCTCTTCTCAGCAGCCAGAGCCAGCAAGCACGATGGAGGCGAGGGGACTGGTGCTGGAGATTTTCGTGATCGTGTGTTGGTACCTGGGGAGTGCGATGCACAGCGTCATCACCAAGACGGCGCTCAGGCCCTCGTCCACCGAGATGTCCCTGGCGGACCGGGTCTTCTTCGGCTCCCTCGTCACCTCCCTGCAGCTCTGCGTGGCGGGATTCTTCGCCATACCCTTCCTGCTTTTCTATCGCAAGAGCCTCTTTGAGGGACAAGGCGTGAGAGGCACCTTCATGCGCTTCCTCAACTTCGACTTCTTCTTCAGCTCTTGTCTGTACGCCCTCGCCAACATATGCGCCAACACAGCGCTGGGCGGCGGGCGGGTGCTGCTGGTCCAGATCATCAAGTGCTCCGAGCTCATCATTACCACCATCCTCGCATGGCTAATCGCGGGGACAGCGGCGCCCACTGCACAGATCGCCGCCTTGTCGCTCTCGAGCTTTGGGATCATCCTTGTGGTGCACGACACGGTGCAGGGGGGCTCCGGCGGGTCGGGGTCGCTGATTGCGGTGTTCTTCGCTCTCCTGGGGGCTCTCTCCATCTCTCTAAGAAACGTGCTGGTGTCCAAGAAGGGGGAGGGTGCGACCATCCCTTTCTTCGTCCTGTCGGTGCTGGGGTGCTGTGTGGCGTGCCTCATCTCCCTCTGCCTCTTCATGGTGGGGGCCGCGCCGACGAGTGTGTCGATCCCCCCCGCCCTGCTGTCCGGCTTGTTCCACTCGACCTACAACATGGCCTCGCTGGGGTTCCTGGCCATGGTGTCGAGCCCCATAGTGCACGCCTACTTCAACGCCGTCAAGCGGGCGGTCATCATCATTACCGCCGAGGTGCTGCGGTGCGGGCTGCCGACGGGCGTGCAGATCCTGGGCTCCTTCATGGCCATCATCGGCCTGCACCTCAGCAAATCCGCCAAACCGGTCAGCGAGGGGGCGAGATGGATGGATGGATGGATGGTCTCTGCTTGATTGTCGTTGGTGTGTTGGTTTGCTCAGAAGAAGGCGCCTGAGAAGGAGGTGCTGAAGGGCCATGCCTCGCAGGGCGGCGGCAGGTATCCCAACTGGTGGTCTCTTCTCGGCGCGCTCGTCGTCTGCCTCGTCTTTTGGCACACAGGTACGCACACACATCCGTCCGTCCGTCACATCAGCCAGCCACCTACCGACACACCTGTTGTCTGTCTGGTCTGTGTGTGTCGACAGCGATTGCCACCCGTTGCAGCTCGGACGCGCCCATCATGGAGGCCATCAAGAACATCGCCTCCCCCGAGAACCTCAACTCCCTCCTCGGCGCGTCAACCGTCGCCACCGCCAATCTCAAGGGCAAGGCCAAAGCGCCGCAGCAGCCCGCAAATACTGGCGGCGCAGGAGCTGACGCACAGCCACAACCACAACCACCACCAGCCCCACCAGCAGCAGCAGACGGGGAGGAGGCGGACAAAGAGAAGGTCGTGTCACAGAACGTTGCTGCCGCCTCCATGGCGCTGCCTCAGGGCAGCAGTGGCGATGGCGATGGGGATCAACAACCGCCACCCCCACCAGCAGAGGACCAGCAGCCACCAGAGCAGGGCGAGCAGGCGCAGGAGGTCGGGGGCGAGCAGCAGGGTGCAGCTGCGGTGGCGCCGAGGGTAGACGAGGCGGAGAGGAGTCGCACCATGGCGGTGTCGCAGAAGATCCTCGAGGAGAGGACGTGGGAGGGGGTCATCGGGGCGCAGCAGGAGGCCATGATCGACGCCTACTCGGCGGTGAGCACTGGACATCACTCAACGACAGAAAGAGAGAAAGAGAGCAACCGACCCGACAGAAGCGCTCTGTGTATGGACCATGCCATGTGTGTGTCTTCTGTCTGTCAATCAGCTGGTCAAGGGGTACAAGCGGGCCATGATGTTTGGGCTGGCCGACCACGAGAACAAGGGCGACGCCGCCATCAACTACGGGCAATACCTCGTCCTCAAGGCAAGCCAACCGACCCAGCACAGCCCAGCACAGCCCATACCCACACAACAACACTCCCACATCCACCCCATCCATCTGCTCGTGTGCGTGTGTACGGTTCTGTGTGCCCATGCATGGCATCCACACTTGCTTGTGCAGAAGCTGGGCTTGGAAGTGGTGCATTTCTGCGCGCCCAAGCTGGCGGAGGATTGCGACTACGACGAGGCGCTGCGGGTGGCCCAGTCGTCAGACGACCCACTCATCATCTTCTACACGGGCGGCGGCAACTTCGGCGACATCTGGCAAAAGTACGTGGACGACCGCGAGCGTCTCGTGGCCAGGTTCCGGGACCACCCCGAGTACCCCATCGTCGTCTTCCCACAGACCATCAAGTTCGAGCACGACGACACGATGGTGGCTCACGCCGAGAAGATGCGGCACCCCAACATATCCTTCATCGCCCGGGACATCCCCAGCTACGAGTGGCTGATGCAGTGCCCCTTTGAGTACAAGATGGCCTACATGCTCCCGGACTCCGCTTTCATGATGGGCGTCACGGTGAGTAACCAGGGGAGGCCATTTGGCCCACACACGAGCAGTTGTGGATCTCTGTCTCTCTGTGGTTGTGTGTGTGGGTCTGTCTGTTTCAGCCGCCCCCGATTTCTCCGACGTATGACATCTTGTGGGTGAAGCGGACTGATCGCGAGAAAAGGGACTACAAGCTGCCGCCAGCGCCCAAGGGCGTGAAAGTGAAGCAGGACGACTGGGTGAGCTACAACAGCACCAACATCAAGTGGCGCGAAAAGTACCCAGTCCGCAACGGCGAGGGGTACGAGTTCTTCCAGACCGTCGTCACCAAATCGCGACTCAACAGGGGCCTGCAGTTCCTCGCCAGAGGCAATGTGAGCCAGTCATGAGCGGCCAACCGACCCGACAACACCGAGCCGCAGATGCACCCTGCCCTGCACCCTGGCCGGCTGGCTGTGTGTGTGTGTGTGTGTGTGTGTCAGGTGGTCGTGGCCGATCGCCTCCACGCGCACATTCTGTGCACGTTGATGCGGAAGCCTCACGTGATCCTGGACAACAACTACGGCAAGATCCGGCAGTACCGGTCGGCGTGGACTGACGGGCTCGTGGAGGGCGGCCTCGTCCACATCGCCACAACACCCGAGGAGGCCATGGACAAGGCGTTAGCCATCCTCAAGGGCACCACTCAGCAGCTGAAACAAGCCGACAGTGACAGTGGCAAGAGTGCTGAGAAAAAGGATTCGGTCGAGACGGACGAAAGAAGCGGGGAGGGAGAGGGAGAGGGAGAGGGCGGCGGGAAGGAGAAGGTGCAGGCGTAGAGAGAGCGAGTGTTGTGAAGGAGCGACCGATGGATGGATGGATGGTCTAGGCCCTGGTGTGTCGATAAGTACATAAGTGTTTTGTTGAATGGAATGATGGATGGATGGATCAAGGGACGAATCGATTCATTCCATGGCTGGCTCTTTTTGTCTGTCTGCTGCAAACGAGGTCAGGTCGGTGTGAATGACGGCACGAGGGATGGGAGGAGGGAGGCAAGGAGGAGACGCGGCAGAGGGCCGCACAGCACACAGGGGTGGGGTTGCTTTCTTCGGTGGAGTCGATGTGCGTGCCGTGCTTGCTTGGGTGCGTGCGGTGCGGTGCGGTTCGGTGCGTGGGAGCTGCCAAAGCTGACTGACTCAAGGGCTGAAGTAATCATCCATTGACAGTGCTTTTTGACCTTTTGGGTGCGGTCGGTGTCGGGGGCGCGGCGCCGGCGGGGTCTGTCGCTCTTTCTTTCATCTGCGTGCCTGCCTGTCAATGTCTGTCAATCAATCAATTCGGTCAATTCAGTCAGTGAGTGTTCGGGCGGGCGCCGCGCCCACCTCTGACGGTGTGTGCGTATGGATTCTGGCTCTTTCTTACTGGCTGGCTGGCTGCCCTTCATGCCGTACGTTGGAGTGACAACCGTTGTACAGACAGAGTTGAAGCGAAGCCAGGGGAGTGCACTCACCCAACCCACTGACTGACTGACTCGATCACTCACTCACTCACTCAGCTGCTGCGAATGCAATTTGACAATGTATTGTGTGTGTGTGTGTGTGTGTGTTCCCTGTCTATATATAGCGCACCACATGTGCACCGACCGCATGTATGCACCACGTACGCCAATTAATTCATCCATTGCCAGCTGGGATATGTGCGGACGGACGGATGGGTGGACGGTGCGGTGCGGTGCGCGGTGGGAGCCTGTGGTTTTCCCGTGTACGTCGATGCGGCGAGTGGTGCATGAGTGCATGCCTGCGCGCGCGTGTATGCGTGTGATTGGTTCGCCCACGCATGACGCGCACGACGGATGCATGGCTGGACGCATGCGTGCGCTGCTTGCTAATGCTTCCTTCTAATGCTCCCCAGCAGACGTCTCCTCGCGGTAAATCCTCTCAGACAAGCTGAAGCGGATCTATGAGTCTGGTGCGGCTGAAGCCTTCCGGGACGGTCTTCTTCTGCTGCGATGTGCAGGTACAGACAATCACACCCCTGACACCTGCACACCTGACACACAGCTGCAGATAGATAGATGAGGCGATGCGGTGCGAGGTGCAGGAGCGGTTCAGGACGCTATGTTATAACATGGCGCACGTCATCCACACCAGCAAGCAAATGGCCGCTGCGGCAAAGACCCTCGGTCAGCCAAACACACCGACAGACACTCATGGTATCATCTGCTGCTGTTGTGTGTTTGATTGACGTGACGTTCGGGTGGCTCCCATCTCAGGTATTCCATTGCTCGTGACCGAGCAGTACCCCAAGGCGCTGCTGCACACGGTGTCCGAGATTGATATCTCTGGCGCACAGAAATTTGAGAAGGTTCGCTGCAGCTTCACATGACATGTCATGCGCAACAGATCGATAAGGGCGCCATCCATCCATCCATCCATCCACCCATTGCTTGGCACTTGCTGCAGACACAGTTCTCCATGTGTATTCCCGAAGTCTGGTAAGGCGTGCAATGCAAGGCCGGCCAGCACCATCCCCTGTCCAGACCCTTCTGCGTGTGTCTGAGTGTGTGTGTGTGTGTGTGTGGGTGCGCTGTGTGTAGGAATTGGATGACCACCAAGGAGATGCGGGACCGCCGCTCCGTCGTGCTGTTCGGGATAGAGGCGCATGTCTGTGTGCAGCAGACCGCTCTCGACCTCATTGCTGCGGGCTACTCAGGTACGCGGCCACGGATGGGCAACACACGCCCTGTTTCGGTCGGGTCAACAGTTGGTCTGTGTGTATGTCTGTGTGTATGTCTGTGTGTGTGTGTGTGTGTGTGTGTTGGTCAGTTCACGTGCTTGCAGACGGTGTGTCGAGTCAGCGAGCACTGGACCGTTCCGCGGCGCTGCAGAGGATGCAGGGTGCCGGGGCGGTCGTCACCACGTCGGAGTCGGTCCTTTTCGAACTCATGAAGACCAAGGTCGGTCGGGACACACACATTTCTCCTGCTCGGACTTGGACGTGTGGTGGTGGCGGTGACGGTGGTGTGTGTGTGCAGGACAATCCCGTGTTCAAGGCCATCTCTGAGCTGTCGAAAGAGAGACCGCCTCCAGAGAATCAGCTGTCGTCTTTATGATGTGTGTGATCAATTGGTGATCATGTGCCTGCCATGCGATTGTGCATGTAGTCAGTCGTTGGGTTTTGAGCATTTGGCGTGCTTGTGTTGTGCTGTGTTGTGTGTCTGTGGCGGCGTGCGGATCCCTCCCTCCATATGTGTGTGTGTGTGGACGGCGGGGAGGGAGCGGTGTTGTTGTCGTTCGACAGGATGAATTCATTTCAAGAAATCATGTACACCCATCCATCGTGTATGCAAGTCGGCAGGCAGGGGGAGTCATCGACCATTCCACTCATTCACTCATTCCACGTCCATCCATCCATCCATCCAAGGGGGTTGGGGCGGGGTGGGGTGGTGGGTAGAAGACATATACAGACACCATCAGCGATCGATACAAGTGTGTGTGAGTGTGTGTGTGTGTGGCTGTCTTGTGTCTCTCTGTCTGTCTGTCTGGTAGTAGTGAGTGAGCCCGTAGGACAACACAACACAACACACCACACCACGAGAGAGACGACAGACAAGATACACTCACACCCGTGTAGTGGTGTTGTATAACATCATCTGCACACACCGCACCGTACCATGAGCGACACGCGACACATCCATCCATCCGGCAACGGGCAACGAACGATCAACGTGGTGAGAAAGAACACACAAGGGCGCCACTCCACCCACCATGTATATGTCATTTAAAACAGATACACAACACACCCACCCACCGCCCGCACTAACCACCACCCCTGTGTCACTCGTCGGCTCGGATATATCTGTCCTTCTGTCTGTCTGTCTGTCTGTCGTCATCCACACATGCATATGCTACGCGGCTCGCTTGGCACACACGTGAGTCGGTCGGTCTGTCTGTTTGTCTGTCTGTGTTGCTCTCGAGAGAGATCTACCACCAAATGTCAGTCAGTGTCTGTCAGTCTGTCTGGCCTGCCCGCTACATCAGTTCAGTTAGTGGATACATCGATCTGATCTGTCTCTGGCTGCCCGCCTGCCTCGATTGAAGCAGGCGGCGGCAAGCAAGGGAGGGTAGGAAAGAATAATCCACAGTCACTGATCGGTCTGGTCTGTCGGTCGGTCTCTGTCTGGCTGTCTGTCTTTTGTCTCGCTGTTGATTGACACTGGTCGGTCGGTCGGTCTGTCTGGCAAGCAGCACATGCATTGGGAAGTTGGCAGGGAGGGAGAAAACTGAGGCACGAACGAAGCGCTGCGCTCCAAGCAGGAGGCGACACGAGGCGAGGCTGGGCGAGAGAAAAGCGATGCACACACACACAAAGATGAGAGCAGAAGCTCGAGGCACATGCACACACGCAACACACGTATCAATGGATTGATCTGATCAACTATCGGCAGGTCGGCCGGTCGGTCGGTCTTTCTTCCCTGCTTGCTGCTGCTATTCCTTCCACACCGTCGATCATTGATTGAGGCACGTGTGTGCGTGTGCGCATGAACGCCACGCCACGCCCCGCACCCGCACACACACCGCTCTCTCGCCAGTCAGTCAGCAGCCACCGGCTAGCTAGGCACCTGCTAGGAAAAAGGTGACCTGCCACGCGAGTCGGTCGCGGGCAGCAGGCAGGCAAGCCAGCCAGCGGCGAGGCAGCAGCTGGACGAGAGAACCAGAGTTGAGAAGCCGAGACGAGAGAGGGTGAGACGTCCATCCATCGGTCCATCAGCCCAGTGAATGGTAAGCGTATGTATGTGGCAAATTATGGGTGGGCGTGAGTGAGTCAGTCAGTCAGTCAACCAACACAACACAACACAACACAACAAACATATACACACACAACACACAGCACCGGGCTATGCGGGGCTATGGGGATCCTTCAGGCGCCCCGCCAGCTGGCGTGAGAGAGGGGATGATCGGTCCGACACAGCACAGCACAGCACAATACAGCACACACAATACGGCACGCACCACAGCAGCAGCAGCACAGCAGGCATGCCTACACACAAGGCGGCACGCCGACACGCTCACTCTCACTCACAGACGTACGAGTCGAATCCATCACTGTCATTTTCGGTTTTCTCCATGCCATGCCCAACAGCACTCTCTCCCCCTGATCCCTACCCTACCCTCTCTCCTCTCCCCTCACACACACCACAGGCAGACAGGCAGGCAGGCAGGGCGAGAAATGACAAACTTCCTTCAGACGGCCTTGCCCTGCCGATATCCTCCCTGCTGGCTGACTCCCGTGACCCCTTTCCCCGCTCTCTTTCCCACACACGCGCAAAGTCGGCTTCCACGGCACGTATCGCGGCTGTCTGGTGCGACTCGACGACCCAGCCGGTCGGCAGGGGGCGCAGGCACAAGCATGTGCTCCACCCCCTGCCTCGCGAGTGGATGCGCGAGCCACACCAAGAGCCACGACATTAGTGCACTGAGGGAGGGAAGCGCAGAACAGCACAGCACAGCCTTCTGGCCGGCCAAAAGAAGGAAATGACCTTCCCATGACTCCCATGACGATCCCCCCCTCATCCCATCCATCCCGTATCGCATCGTTCATCAGTCAGCCACTCCTCCAGCCATGCACATGTATCTCTCTCTCTCTCTCTCTCTCACACACACACATCACAGCACATCATGCATGATGTGATGTGACTGACTGCGGAGGCCGCCTAGTATCGGCCCCCCCCATAGCCGCCGCCGCCACCGTACCCGCCGCCGCCATAGCCTGACAGACATCAACACAACAGAGGAGGGAGGACACCAAGCAGTGTGGTGTGGTGTCGTGTGTTGTGGTGCGTATGAGTGAATGGGCGAGTGGTGTCTGTCTGTCTGTCTGTCGCGTGAGCACTCACTGTCGTCACGTCGGCCTCCGTAGCCGCCACCGCCGTATCCGCCGCCACCATAGCCGCCGCCCCCGTAGTCATCGCGGTCGCGGTAGCCGCCACCACCGCCATAGCCACCTGACACGCACACACACCGTGGTTGGTGCACAGCACACGACATCAATCAGGATCTGTGTCTGTTGTCTTGTGTGATGGCCCAGGGCACTGACTCACCCCGTCCGCCGCCATATCCGCCCCCGCCGCGCCAGCCGCCTCCGCCTCCCTCGTTGGGGCGAGTGCGGTCACCCTTCACATAGTCACCACCCGGACCTGATGACATACATCAGATGCACACGTCAGATGCCGGTGAGACATGGACTTGTGCGTCGACCCAACCCACTGACTTAGTTACCGGTGACATTGACGGCTCTGCGTCTGCCGCTGTCGTCGGTCTCGATGTCGAACTCCACCTCCTCGCCCTCTGCCAAGTTGCGGAACCCGCGGGCGTGAACTGATCGGATGGGATGGGGAGGGAGGGATCACACACACGCACCAACACACTACAAACTGTCTGAACGGCCACCTCCCCCCTCCCTCTCCCTCCCTCTCGCGTGTGTGTGTGTCCGTTGGTTGTGTTGTGTCGGTTCGCTCGGCTTACTAACGGACTGGTGGACGAAGACGTCTTCAGATCCGTCGGCGCACTGGATGAAGCCGAAGCCTTTCGACGAGTTGAACCACTTACACGTGCTGCACACACGCACACAGGCAGGGGGTGGGCAGGAACTACCACCCTCCCCTCCCTCCGAGTTGGGAGTGGGTCTGTGCTTACCCTTTGGAGGACATGTTGAGCGGCGGTTTGGTGACTGGCGGAGGGAGGACAGCACAGATCTAGGGAGAGACGTCAGGGGAACTGCTTCCTTCTCGTCTCACACCCAAGCCGCGTGCTTTAGCTCGCAACCGATTTTCATCGATTAGCCTGGGCGGCTCCCGACGGCACCACTCAAGAGCCAGAAGCCACACGTGAGAGCAACACCGATTGAACAGCACTCACTCCACTCGAGCCCTTCCAGGATGGTAGATCTCATCATGGTGGAGTGAGTGAGTGATGATCCGCAAGAGCAGCTCGCGCGGCAGCAGCACCTTGGTGACTGGCCACTCGCACCCCGCGACCAAGGGGGAGGATCCGCACGGGTCATCGAGCAGCCATGGGGCAGCCGTCGTCGTGCACCTTCTCTCGCCCCGCCTCACCGCAATCATCTCGCCTATCGACGCCAAGATTGCACTCGACTTTGTAAGCAGACGAGGGCCTCGGGACGGGACGGGCAGCACCCGTTTGGTCTCTGTGTTGTGATGAATCGATCGGTTCCATGCCATGCCCTGCAGGCCAGCCAGGGGAGTGACGTGATCAAGTACTGCCGCGATGGGCGGCGGAAGGTGAGATGAGATGAAAAGGGGAGAGGGAGGAGAGGGGAGGGGAGGGAGCTATGGAGCTGCCACTCCACCTCTGTGTGTGTTGACATGCGTCTGTGTGTGTGTGTGTTTGTGTTTGTGTGTGTGTGTGTGTCTCAGCACGTTCGTTCGTTCTGGCTGGACGCCAAGGCCCGCACGCTCAAGTGGCAGTCGCCCAAGAAGGACCCTGCCCGCTCACAAGGTGGGCAAAGCAAAGACAACACACTACCTTGGTCACTCGGTGCTTGGCACATCTCTCTCTCTCTCTCTGTGTGTGTGTGTGTGTATGTGTGTGTGTTTAACACTGACCAGTTGCACTTGAGGACGTTGTTCGTTTGGTGCCTGGGATGGACTCTGACTTCCTCAAGACCAAGCCCGACCCCGAGCTGTCGCTGGAGCTCGTGTGCGTCAAGAGGAAACTGAGACTCACCTTCGCCTCCGAAGAGGTGGGTGACCGGGCAAGCCACCAGCTTCAACCACCATACCAGGACCCACACACATCTGCCTGCGGTTGGTCTGTCTGTCTGTCTGTCTGTCTGGCGGGGGGCATAAATCGTATCAGGAGTTTCTCCAGTGGGCTTCGGCGCTGGCACATGTGCTGCAGAGGGTCAGGTTGAGTGCGTGTGTGTGCCGATGGGTCTGCCTGGATCCAGTGGCTGTCTAAGTCTGTGTGTTTGTGTGTGTGTGTGTGTGTGTGTGTGTGTGCAGGTGGTGGCCAACCGCCGTCTGCAGCACGAGAGCTACAACGACTTCATCGGCAAGCAGTGGAACCTATGCGACAGAGATGGAGCTGGTACAGATCTAATGCATGTGGGTGGCCGGACGGACGGCACTAAGGCACAATTCTCTGTGTGTGTGTGTGTGTGCGTGTGGACACATACAGGGAGTGTTGGGTTTGAGGATTTGCTCAAGTTGATGCAGCGGCTCAACATATCGGCCGACAGGAGACATGCTTACCGGCTCCTCCAGCACGTGAGACGACCCTTACCCTTCCTGCCGACCTGCCAATTCCTTTCCTTCGTGTGTGTGTGGTCCGTTTGTCAGTTTGACACGGACGGCACGCAGTCGCTTCACTACGAGCAGTTCGTCGAGGTAAAGACAGACAGACAGACAGCCGCAGCAGACAAATTCACGAGTGCCATTCAAGTTGTGTGTGGTTCCTGATGTCGTTTCAGATGCTGAACTCGCTGCTGATCCTGAGCGACCTGGACGAGTACTTCCACTCCTACAAGGACCCCGCTAAAGGGGTCGTCACCGAGGAAGGTGCGCTGGTGTGCTGTGGTGTGCTGTGGTGCAGTGTATGTGTTTGTGGTGATGGGATGGCCACACAGCAACACAGGCAGGGGCGTCTGTCTACACGTCGATCCACTTCGGCTTTGTCTGTCTGTCTGGTGCAGGGTATCGTCGCTTCCTTGTGGACGTGCAGCAGACGGCTGAAGAAGACATTGACACTGAGCTTAAGGGCATGAGGAGCCTGCAGGAACCTTTCATCAAAGACGTACGTAGACACACAGACACAGAGATGGAGAGAGAGAGAGAGAGAGAGACGGCTGGCTTGTTAGAGAGAGAGAGAGAGAGACGGCTGGCTTGTTCTGTCTGTCTGTGCAGGGCGGCTTGAATGCGATAGGGTTCTCGAAGCTGCTGTCGAGCTACCACAACTCGCTCTTTCACCCAGCCAAGAGGAAAGTCTACCAGGTAGACAGATAGACTTAGACATCTTTCGTCCGGCGCGTTAACACACCGTCTGTCTGGCCCTCCCTCCCTGTTTCCCTCCCTCAGTCGATGGACCGCCCCCTCAATGAGTACTGGATAGCGTCTTCACACAACACATACCTCGAAGGTCACATACACACACACACCCTCACAATCCATCCATCCATCCATCCGTGTGTGTGTGGATTGGATTGTTCAGGTGACCAGGTGGTGGGCAAGTCGTCGGTGAGTCAGTACGTCGAAGTGCTGGGCCGCGGGTGTCGGTGTGTGGAGCTCGACTGCTGGGACGGGCCCAGCGGGGAGCCCGTCATCTACCACGGACACACAATGACCTCGCGCATCAAGTTCTCCGACGTCGTGCAGGCCTGCAAGGACTTCGCCTTCCAGCGTTCGCCGTATCCGGTGATTCTGTCGCTTGAGATGCACTGCTCCCCCATGCAGAAGGCGCGGGTCGGCCAGATACTCAACGAACTCATTGGAGAACAGATGCTGCGCCTGCCACCAGGTCAGCACCACCACACCCAACACACACACCCAACACACACACACACCCCCATTGTGGTGTGGTTGGGCGTGTGCAGACGGCATGAGCGACGCCAAGTTGCCAACGCCCAACGAGTGTCGCCATCGGTTCATCGTCAAGGGCAAGGTGCCGCCACAGAGGGGACAGGCCGAGATGGAGGAAGGAAACGAAGCAGACATACTGGTAGTCAGTGACTATACGAGCACACACGCCCGTCTGCACCACACCACACCACACCACACCACACCGGGTCGTATGTGTGTCAAGATGGAGGAGACGGAGCGTGCTCTCGAGGCGGACTGCGAGGCGGCGCTGCAGCCCAACGAGAACCTCTCCGCCAAGGGCTCGCAGGAGGACGTCGACGACCTCAGCTCCCCCATCGTCTCATACACCGCCTCACAACCTGAGAGTAACCAACCAGCCTCCCAATCCAATCCCTCACCTCACACACACCCCAACACAAGCCCACAAGCATTGCATTCCTCTGTGGGGGCTGCATTCATTTGTCGACTGACTGCAGCCAATGCCCCCGAGTCGAGTGTGTCTCTCGTGCCGTCGGGTGACAACGCCAGCAGGTCGGCGGTGACCAACGGCACCGGGGGGCCGCTGCGGAGTCCCACCTTTATCGAGAAGCTCACGCGCAGTCGGTCCAAGGTGATGCCCCCCGAAGACGAGCTGCAAATGGTACGTGTGGATGGATGGATGGATGAGGCGCGTTCGTCCATCGTTCGTGTGTGTGTGTGTGTGTGTGCGGTTGCCTCGTCAGTATTACGACTGCATCTTTATCACGGGTCGCAAGGTCAAGTGGAAGCTCCACCTGCCCAGAAATGGTACCATACTACGGGAGGATTGGATCGTCTGCCCAACTGTCTGTCTGTCTGTCTGTGGTGCGGTGGCGTGCCATGGTTGGTCTGGTCTGGTCGGTCAGACTGCGACATAGTGTCTGTGAACGAGACCAAGATGAGCAAGTGGATCAAGAAGAGGCCACTCGAGCTCGTCACCTTCCACCGCAAATACCTTTCACGAGTCTACCCCTCCAGTGAGCAGAGCATAGCATGCCCTGGAGGCCTCTGTTTGTTTCTGGCGTGTGTGGCCATCCATGTGTTGACTGATGTATTGGTGTGTTGATGTGTTGATGGCTGCTGTGATGTGTTGTCATGACAGTCACCCGGTGGACATCGTCCAACTTCAACCCCACCCCCTGCTGGCTCGCCGGCTGCCAGATGGTCGCCCTCAACTACCAAATGGGCGGACTGCCCACCATACTCAACGAGGGAAGGTGAGATGCGCCACCAATCGGACACACACACACACGCACACGGCCAGACAAACACACACACTCTCTCTCTCTCTCTGTTTTATCGACCCGGCAGGTTTGCTGAGAATGGGGGTGCGGCGGGTGGCTATGTGTTGAAGCCGGCGTTGCTGCGCGACCCTTCTCCCGTTGTCGATATGTTCGACCCCTCCCTGCCCCCTCCCCGCGTCCGCACAGACGACCCCCCGCCCGTCACCCTCACGGTCAAGATCCTGTCGGCCCACCAGCTGCCCAAGCCCTACCTCCAGCACAGGGGGGAGGCCGTCTCGCCTTACGTCACTCTGTGGGTGGATGGGCCACCAGCGGACTGCCGCGTCTTCCGCACCCCGCACGTGGACGACAACGGCTTCAACCCGACGTGGGCCGAGCAGGTCTTCACGTTTGATGTCCACTTCCCGGCCATCACCATGGTGGCCTTTGAGGTACGGGACCACGACCGCATAAGGAGCGAGTTCCTGGCGGCCGGGGCCATGCCCGTGTCGTGCATCAGACCAGGGTGAGTCGCTAGGCCACAGGCAGCCAGGTTCACGCCACGCCTGTGTGGCGGGTGTGGTGTGGTGTTGTGTGGTGTGGTGTGGTGTGGATGACTGTTGGTTGCAATCAATGTGTCAATCAATCAGGTTGCGGTGGGTGCCTCTGTGGAACTACCGCTTCCAGGAGAATCCCTGGTGTGGGCTGCTGGTGCTGTGTCAGCTCCGGTACAAGTTTTCTGAAGGGAGGGAGTGATGTTCGAAGGAAGATGCGACGAAACTGACTGAAGATGCGAACGGACCGGACAGACAGGGCCTTCTTGACTCTTTCTGTGTATCTTTCTTTGCGCGGACGCTAAGTGCAATGCAAGCTGTGGACGGATGGACCGGATGGACCGATGGAAGGAAGGAAGGATGTGTGGAGCCAGCCAGCCGTGTTTCCTCTTGGCGTGTCGGGTGCAGGCAGACAGACACTACTAATCCAATCCACAGGTATCTGATCCATTTCACCCCCTCACGGTCTAAGCAGCGCCACTCGATGGCTGTTCCCATGGGTCCGGTCTAGTGACGGTCATTCATCTCGCCACCCACGCCCGCGAACGGCCGGCAAAATGGCTGGCCATCACAGTTCCCCCCAAAGGCACAGCACACCGAGCAGCGTCGGAAAACTGTCAATCCATGAGACGACTGCAAACACGAGGCGCGCCTCTCAGTGCGTGCCACACCAGCCGGGCCGGCCTGCTGGCTGGGTCTTACCTTACTGACTCTCGATCTCCTCTGCCGCCCTCCCTGCCCCCCCTCGTCTGCCCGCTATGTCTCGGACGGAGTAGCCGATGCGCCTGGCGGCCTCCCTCTCTGCTTGCAGCATCTTGAGCAGCGGGCCGAAGGACAGGCGAAACTCATCGACGGCGTCGGGGGACAAGGCGGGCGCATCGGCGTGCAGGTAGCCATGGCCTGGTCAACACGGCAGCACGCAAAAGCACATATCTCTCCCTCAGCTGCGGCAGGTGTTCCTTGGCCCGCTCACTTACCCTACCTGATTTTGTCTGGGTGTCAGATCCGCTGACGAAGAAGCGGCTGTCCTTGATGAGCTCGGTCACCAGGTTGCCCCAGTCGTCAGAACCCAACACCGATCTCGCCACACCCTCCACACCACCACCACCTACACCTGCCCTCCCTCCCCCACCACTACCCCCACCGCACACAGACTTGAGCAGCGGGTGCCCCTCGTCACGCCAGAACACGCCCTCGTCGCTCGCCGCCGATGTCACTACATCCTGGTGGTCGCTAATGGGGTGCTGCGCTTCAAGGGCCGTGACGACGGCCGCGAGCTGCTGCCAGAGTGCCATCCTGAGCGGTGGGGGGCAGGCGTCCTGGTTGTTGGACCACACGGGGCCGCGGATGAGGTTGTAGAGGGGCTCCAGCAGGGAGGCGAACAGGTGCAGCGAGACGGGGGGGGTGCCCGGGGGGTGGGGCGGGGCGGCGGCTGCTGCTGCCGCCGCTGGTGGTGGGGCGAGAGGGGGAGGGGGAGGCGTATACTGCTGCTCGAATGACTGCACAACAAACAATATATTCGACCGCAGAGAAAAGCCACTGACTCCGTCAGTCAGTGGATCAAGGTGTACTGTACCCTGTAAGTGGCGGCGTATTCCCCCACGGTGATCCAGAAGTCCAGGATGACACTGCCGCTCTTGTCCTCCTGCCTGCCCACCCCCAGGGGCAGCCCCAGTATGCTGAGCTGCTCGCGCAGCTGCTGCCGCACCACACCGATGAAGGCCCCGTCCGCAAACACCCCCATCAGCACGCCCACATCTGCACACACACACACACAGACAGATTGGCACAGTGTGTGTGTGCCCGTGTCGTGTGTGGGCCCTTTCTGCCTGCAAACAGACCTGCCCTGATGAGCAGTCGGTTGACCAGTGCGAAGAGTGGTGGTGTGTCGGAGGGGTGAGGCCGGCCGCCGGTCTGCCGCAGCTTGTGGGTGATGGCCTGGACGGCCAAGTCCACCGACCGCCTCAGCGCGTCGTGCTGCAGCTGCCGTGGCTGCCAGGGGAGGAACGGGCCCTCGGTGAGGCTCTCGTACTCCGAGAAGCTCTCGATGGCATACCGCTGCACACACACACACACACACACACGGCGCGAGCAAAGGTCGTTTTGCGTCCGACGATGGTGTCCCGACCTGCATAAGTGACGGCATGAGACCCGCCAGGTGCCATTTGAGGCGCTGCTCCATCGGCATGGTGTCGCTGAGGCGCTCCATGGTGTCGCGGACGGTGCCCTCGAGGTCAGATCGGCAGTGGGGCGGACAACCAGCACACAAATGCTGAGAAACCAGCCCATAGAGACACACACACACATACACAGAGAGAGAGGGGGACCGGTAGGTAGACACACACAGATACTCTATTGCAGTGAGACCCTCCTAGCTGCGTACCTCGATGGACTTGGCCATGAGCGAGGCAGCAGCGACGGACGAGAAGTGCCGCACCAGGCCGAGCAGGACGGTCCGCGCACACCTCCACACACCCAGCCGCGCCATGAAGTGCTGCTCGACCCCTCCACGTGGCTGCTGCCCCATGGCCCATCCTCCTGCCGCTGCCGCTGCCGCTGGTGCCGCTGGTGCTGTGGGTCGGGGGATGGGTATCAGGGTGGTCAGCCAGCCGGCGTAGTGGTACCAGGCCTGTGTGACGGCCGCCTGAACACACACGACACACGACACGCCTTGTGTGTTCCGTGAGTGTGTGTGAGTGAGTGAGAGGGATGGTTGCTGCCTGTTGGTCATTGAGTTTTCTGGCGTGGAATAGGATGTCTGTGACGAAGGGCAGGATGAAGTCGGGGAGCATCGGGAACTGCTCCCTCAACACATCCGGCTGAACGAAAGACGAACACACCGGCCGGTGCAGCAGCAACACATCATGATGCATGCACACACAGGCACACACACACAGAGAGAGAGAGAGAGAGACCAGGTGAGTAATTGACACACACATGGCCTCTCTCGCCCACCTCCTGGCTCACTAACCACATGCTCGACTCTGCTGATGAGGTATCCGAGCAGATCTTCTGGAGGCCCCCACTGCGCGGCGTCGCCCATGTTGCTGAACCACACACACACACACACACACACAGAGAGAGAGAAAGAGAGAGAGAGAGCGAGAGAGAGAGAGAGCTGCACACAGACTGGCACAGACATACTTGGACAGCTCCAGTATTTTGTCCGACGCGCCTTGTCCGGCCATCGTGACGTGTGGGTACACCCAATACAGCGTCACGATGTACTGCTCCATGAACGAGTGGAACGTCACCTAAACACGCACAGCACACGGAGAGAGGAGAGACAGACACGGACGAATAGCATAGAACGACCTGCCCCCCTCTCCGCCAAGCCACCAGCAACGCACCTGTGCGATGGCACCCACATCACCGCCAAGCGCCGAGAGCAGTGCGGTCAGCAGCGGCTTGTGCGCACTAGGCGGCCTGCGATCCAGGTCGCGCAGCAACGCCCTACCACACACACATGGCACACACAGCCACGCCATGCCGTCTCTCTCCCCCTCTCTCTCTCTCTCTCTGTGTGTGTGTGTGTGTGTGTGCGTGTATGTGGTGCTTACTGCGCCTGTCTGTTGAAGTACTGGATGACCTCCGGGCGGAAATCGCCGGCGAGCGGCATACGCTGGTTGAGGTCGTCAAAGAGACGCTGCCACACACATACACACACATGCACACGCGTCAACGCACACACACATGGAAGGCAGGCGATGCAGCTCAGCTGCCGGGGGACCTACGTGTATTCGGTCCCACATCTGGTGTGGGGGCGTGTGCTCCCGCAACTCGCCCTCAGCACGGAACAGGTAGAACCTTATCAATCACACACACACACACACACACGTGTGCACAGCCTGTCTGTCCGTCCGTCGGTCCGCCCACCTTCCCTCCCTCCAGTCAGTAGTCACTCACTTGCAGACACTTGCGATGCCCACAGGATCGTCGGACGGCCGCGCGAGGAACTCTGCAGCAGTCTCAAGCAGCCGGGTCACCTCATCACCACCGCCAAACAGGTTCTCGCGAACACACTCCAGCAACCTGATGGCAGGATGGATGGATGGATGGACGGATGACAGACGGCTGTGCTTCCTCCTCCGTACTTTGCGCCGAGTGAGGCCGCTGGAGGTTCGTTGACGAACACGTCGACGAGTGAGTAGACCAGGTGCGCCATCTGCAACAGACAGACAGACTTGTTGACAGAGAGGCGAGGATTGCTTACCGACTGACTGCTTGTGGATGGATGGATCCCCCCTCCCTGCCTGCCTGCCTCGCTCCCCTATGTCCCTTTTGTCCTATGTGGGAGGGCATACGTACGTTGTTTTCGTCTACATCGGCAGGCCCCGTGTCCGTCGTGTTGCACAATCCACCCACCTACACGCACACATACACACACGCATGAGCGAGAGCGGGCAGAGCACCCCATTCGCCCGGCCCCCGGCATACCATACCTACCTGCTTGTAAGTGTGCAGGATGTGTTTGAGTTCCCTGCCGTAGCTGATGAGTGTGTCCTGGGTTTGATGGTCGATGCCTCCCTCCTCCCCAACGTCCCCATCTGTCCGCCGCGAACGGGACGCCGCGAGAGGCAGCGAGTACCGCTCATACAGACCCGACAAGTCCTCCAGCAACTGAGGACACACACACACCACACACACAGAGAGACCACGGTGTATGCCAGCTGTAGATGAGCATGTGTGTGCCCACGTACGTACCCTGGCTGCGCTCATGGAGATCTCTTTGCCGAGCTGCCCGCACCGCATCTCCACACACCGCTCCATCGGCAGCCCCGCACCAGCGTCCGCAGCGGCCGTCCGCTTGAGCAAAGGCGCCACAGCCAGCAGACATGGGCCGCCGAATGACACGCCCGTGTGCTCGCTGGCCGACAGCCGCAGAGATGTGTACAGGCCTGGCGGATGGATGACCTCCTCTTGCTGATCCTCCTGCTGCTGGTGTTGCTGCTGGTGGTGGTGGTGTGGCTGGTCATCCATCATGTCTGGGGAAGGTGCATGCGCGGCTGCCGCTGCTGCAGCAGCAGCTGCTGCGGCGTATGGCGGCAGTGGGGACGGCGGCTCGTCCATGTAGCCATAATAGCCTGGATCTTGGTCGTCCTCCATCTTCCTCCGCGTTGCTTTCGCTTTCCCTGCGAGCTCTAATGATGGACTCCCCATGGCGCATGCGATTCACCGAGTCAGTCGATGATCTGATTCAGTCAATTAGGTTAGAGAGGCGCGCACGCGCACATGGACACACTCTCACGTCAGTCGACACACACACACACAGACACACACACACACACGCACACACACAAATACGCACAAACCGCATGCCAGCCACGCAGTTGGTATGAACGCATGATTGATTGATTCATATGCATTCACTCAGTCACTCATTCTCGTCGATCCGTCTGGTCCGTATGTCATGTCTGGCAGTCAGCGACCCATCTTAGCTATATAGCTATATAATCCAGCAAGGGACAGTGAGTGAGTCAATAAGAGGTCTCTGTCAGTCAGTCAGTCAGTCGATCAGCGCCGTGCCCAAAAGGGCACCGATGGGCGGCACAGGCAGGCAGGCAGACAAGCAGGTGGGCAGGTGGGGTGGGCGGGGAGGGGCAGAAGGTCACTGGAGGGAGGGAGCGGGGGAGGGAGGCAGTGAGGGGGGCGAGGCTGTGCAGAAAGGGGGCAGGGCAGGAACCACACGGCCTGCAGGCCAGGCAGCAGGCCAGGCGGGCGGGCGTGTGAGTGCTCACATCAGTCAGTCACATGATGGAGCACTGCAGACACGAGTGCTTCCCCGCCAAGTGACCTGATCGATCAATCAACCGACACAGAGGAAACCACACACAAACCAGATGTGGGCAGGGCAGCCAGAGAGAATTGTTGATGTGGGTGGGTGGGTGAGGCTGTGGGTGTGTGTGATGTGTGTGTGATGTGTGTGTGCTGACCTCCTCCTGGCCTCTTGAGGACGGTGTTGACGTGTACTGCAGTGGGGAAGTCAGCAGCAGCCACTTTCTGGTCTGTCGGTCAGAGTCAGACACACAGACAGACGATCACACGGGCACACTCACACTTCTGTTCTCCCCCTCTCTCGGAAGTGCCTGCCCTCTGCACCCACCCACCCTGCAATGACTTGGCGTCCTCCAGCTCTTTGCCTCCGCAGAAGAAACGTAACCGGTCCACCTGCTCAACCGTTATCGAAATGTCTGTCAGACATGACAACCAGGCCACACACAACACACATCAGACTGTGAAGGAAGCCCCATCATCTTTCCGTGTCTTGTCTTGAGGCACCCACCTGGTGGCCAGTGCTCTGCAAGGAGCGTCCTCTTAATGTCCCTGACCAAAGTGGATGCCTGAACATCACACACACATCACACACAACACTCCCCAATCCAATGCCGGCCAGCTGTCTGTGTGTGTGTGTGTGTGTCGTCCCTCTGACTGACCGCGAATGGTCTTTCGAGGGCCTTGCCGTCATAGTTGGCGAATATGAACTTGAGGTTGATATCGCCCATATATTATAGGAAGCAACTCAACTCACTCAGTCTGGCAGGCCAGGCAGCGATCAAACACCAGCAGACCGCCTCAGCAGCTCCTCGTGCAGCATCTCAGAGCACGGCACGACAAGGCGGCTTGTTATTATAGTCGCAATGAGGCTCCCGCTCAGGACGGACACCTGAAAGGCGCTTTGCTTTCTCCCCTCCGCTGCGAGCTCAGGGGGCCTGCAGTCTCGCCCCCCACGTCCTTTTTCACCGGTTAAGCGCCGTTCACGTTTAGCCGTTCAATGCGCGGCGACCGCGGCCCGTCATACTATCCCCGCGAGCCCCAGCCATCCTCCGCGGCTCACAGGCAAGCTGCGTTTCTTACTCTTCTGACTCAAGCTGTGAGTATGTTGGCGCATTCATGTGTGTGTTCAGGGTGAGTTCGGCGCCTGTCAGAGGCGGCGATGACGGCACGCCTCGCGGTCGGACCCACCTGCTCCGCCCGGGACAGAGTGATGGCCGACCAAATGAGTTCCACACAAGTATGTAAGCTCCTCTGTAGACACACACGCGCAATGCAGATGGCATGGGAGGCCTCCATTGATGCTTCATGTTGTCAGAGAGGTCGTCTCCCTTTTCGGCATGGCGGCCTGACGCGCCAGTGCCCCACCCCCATGAGCACAAGAAAGAGAGGGAGAGGGCCGCCGGCACTCCTGGGGCACCGCCGAGAGGGACCGCAAGAGATAGAATCGTGAGCTGGCAGATACAGATGCACACCTGGACACACAACTATAGACAATCAATGTGTGTATGTATGTCATCCATCCACTTGCAACAACGCAATGCATCATTACAAGCGGCCAACCTCAGCGACCTGAAGAAAGGTCGGTCGGCAGGCAGGCAGGCAGGCACAGGGGCTCGTGCGATTCCTGCTTGACTCTCTGCCGCTTGTGTGTGGGGGGTGTGGGGGTGTAGAGTCGTGCGCCTGTGGGATGAGGGTGGGTGAGCTGCGGCTGATCCAGGAGATCAGCAACAAAGTGGGCGTCCTCATCTCGCAACTCGAAGCCATGATTCAATCCATCGTCGGTAAGTGAATCGGAGTAAAGCCGTTCCATCCTACCTACAGCCGCAGGTGTTGGTCCGCACCGCAGGTGTCTTGGGTCACCTGACGTTCAGCGACCTGAGCCCCCGTGACGCCCTCAACGCCATGGTGGCCTACGTTGAGCCCATCAGAGCCCTCGACCCAAGGCTACAAGGTCGCTAGCTACCCTCTGGCCAGATCCCCCCTGCTTCCTTCCATCGCTAGTCTTCCCTTCTGGCGTCCCTTTCTCCATCAGATTTGCAAGAGATGCTGCTGGAGGTGCGGTACCTGGATCAGCACAGGGCCCCCGAGGACCGCTGGGCTCACCCGCTGCAGCGACGCCGGCGGCCCACCAAGTGCAGGGCCACACAGACATCGCGAGACGACTGGGACAGCCTCGGCGTCGAGTCAGCAGAAGAGACACAGACCAACATTCTTAAAGTGCGTCGAGCCGGATGCGGCATCTTGGGCTGTGTGTGGTGTAATGCAGTCGTCGCAAGGTGACTCAGACGGACGATCGGCCGTGGCCGTTCATCGACCTCAACCAGGTGTCTCCTCGGCTGCTGCTGCCCTCGCCGCCCCCAGAGAAATCCGACGAGGCCGTACAGACGGAGGCAGTGCAGATTAGCGAGGGAGCCATACGTACGTGAGGGCGAGACAGACCAATCGACCTACCTGCTAAGGCGCAAATGGTTTGTGTTGTGTGTGCGTGTGTGCGTCAGGGCCCACGCCGCCGCCGCCGGCCGCCAAGCCACCCGCAAGGACACAGATGCTTGAGGCGTTGAGGCGGAAGGCAACGCTGGAGGGAATACAGGTGAGCCGAGCAAGCGCAATGGAAGGCAAGCCGGATATGCAATGCAATGCGTGTGTCTGTCTCTCGATTCGGTCGTTGTGCGGTTGTGTCCTGTCATGCAGTGGACGATCCACAGTGCCATGTACAAGCCCGATGTCACACTCGTGTGCGTGTGCAGGTGAGGTAGTTCGTTTGTGTGCGGGGCGGAGGGTGGCAAAGAGAGCGCGTCAAGACACACGATAGATATCTCCCCTCTCCCCCCCATGGCATGGATTATATTACAGATATGACCACGAAAACAGGGAAGCCATGCGCGACGACTCGTCAAGACGGACAAACCCGGTGCAGGTAAGGAAGTGGTAAGCTCTCCTCTGCCAACCACGCCCTGCCCTCTACGTCTGTGTCTGTGTGTGTTTCTGTCAGCCCAAGAAGGTGTACAAGACGATATACTCGGCGACCATCGAGCAGAGCGTGTCGATCAGGAAGCTGCCCCCCAAGGTGCCGAGGGTCATGCCGCACTACCACGCCGACGTCTACGACACCAAAGGAGCCAACGTATGTGCAACGCTCCTGCACAACAAACAAACAAAGACTGACTGACTGACTGACGCGATGGGTGGTGTGGGTGCAGGATTCGAGAAGGTGGGTGTACCTGGGCACGGCCAAGAAGAGCTTCCTGGACCCACAGACCAGCGAGGCCAACAACGCCTGGTGGGGTGGGCGACAGACAGACCATGCTGCACTGCACAGAGAGAGAGACATGACTTGTGCGTGTGTGTGCAATTTAATTGCAGGCCGATAATGGTCCCAGGGACGGAGAAACAAGACGGTAAGTAAGACGTGCACTCTACGCCCTCTCACCGTGGGCCTGTACGCCTCCATCCATCCATCCATCCATAGGCATCATCTATGTGACCTTAACAGCCATACCCAGGTAATTAAATAAGTACCAAGAATGAGAGGCCTGGCCATCAACAGCCATCAGTCGATTCATGTGTGTGCTGTGCATGGCTTTCCATCCGTCCGTCTCTCTCGATATACATCCATCAGCGAGGCCGTGCTGCCCGCGGCGGCCTTTCTCATCCGCACCTCCAACGTCGAGAAACCCAAAATGTTCGGACTTCTTGACCTGGTCGCCAAGAACAAAGGGGCACAGCCCAAAGAAGTGAGCAGTCGCGTCGGAAGTTACGTCAGAAGCGAATAGCCATCCACCGTGTCTCGTGTCTCGTTACACACAACATACATACAGAGCCCCGGCCAAGCCCCCTCCGAAGAAGCCGCCACCCAAATCCCGCAGGCCATCCCCACCACCACCGCCGCCACAAGCACCGCCTCCTCCAGCACCAGCCCCCCAACCCCCCCCAGCCCCAGCCCCGGAGTCGCCCAAGGCGGCGAGGCGGAGTTCGCCCAAGGGTAAGGAGGTGGACAAGAAGGCGACCCACGAGAAACTGCGCAAGCCCGACAGGAGAAGCGACAGCGACACGGTCGACAAGAGAGACGCGGGGACGGGCGTGCGGAGAAGCCTTTTCGGATGATATATTCGGCCGATTGATGTGATGAAGAGGGAGGGGGCGGCGGTGATCGGTTGGGACCGTTGGGTTTGTGTCTGTCGGACTGTCGGAGGGACTGTCGGGGAGGTAGCCCATGTTAGGACAGGCAGGTGTGTGGGTGTGGTGTGTCCAGTGAGTGTTATTGCTGTGTGCTGGCTGGTGAGTTGCTGCGCTGCTAGCTGCGTTAACGATAGCTTGTTGGACAATTCTGGAGAAGAAATGTCGGCATGCCGACATGACATGACATGGACATGACATGTCATGTGTGTCTTCTTTCTTTGCATCTATCAATGTGTGTACACGCATTGACCGATAGATAGACCGAGAGGCCAGCCAGCCAGCCAGCCAGCCAGTGAGCAGGTCTTGCCAACCAATGTGGGTCGTCATCTCACACACACACACACACACACAGACACACACATACAATACATACCAACGACATATACCAAACAAGCAGAGGAGCCGACCAGCCACACCAAACGCGCAGACACCACATACATACACATACACGGTCGGTCACGTTTCTCTCTCTCTGTTCTGTGTCGCTCCATCCTTAAATTGCCCAACTACACACCACCACCCACTTGGAAGTGTCCATACGTCAAAAGCTCTATCAGTCAGTCGGTCGGTCGGTCGGTCGGTCGGTCGCAGACAACGACAAAAATCCTATATGGGGCGTCTGGATGTCTGTGTGTTGTTGGGGGTGTGTGTGTGGGGGGGGGGGGG